CTTCTATCAGAAAATCACACAATTAGAGTTAACAGTTTTAATTGCTGTTTATTAATCTATTCGCGTAACTTTACGTTATTTGTTTTTCATTTATCTTTTATTTTAATTTCTTTCATGCAAGTTTCACGCTTTAGTTGTCGGTTAGTTCTAGTGTTATATAACATGTACACTTTACGACTTTCAAACTCGAATTAGCACGTACTTTCACGATATGCGTGAACGCCAACTTACGATACAGATAAAATTAAAAATTACGAAATTCCCATGAAAAAAAAAACTTTCTTGTAATAATACATTAAATAAATATGTATTCAGAATCGTTATAATGATAAAAATATTATTAATATTCGTAAACGTATAAAAATATTCATAAAATAAACCTCGAGAGGGATGGATCGATCTTTTTAAAATTATTAAAAGATATTCTTTGTCCCAAACCTGCCGCCGGATACGATTTATTCCCGGAATAAAACTCGTCAATCCCTGCCACGAACCTTTAGAACACCTTCCTCCAATGCAATTTTAAGATTTCTATAAGATTTTTATTAAGATTCAAGAGTTCAAATCAGAAATTTTGTTGCGACTCGTTGCAATAATTTTTGCATTACTATTGAGAAGAGAGAGGAAAGAATAACACAAAGCTGGAAGATACATATTTTCCAATCGAAAGAGATATCAAACTGCGACCCGTTGATAGGGAATATTGATGACACCTTGTCATTATTTCCGAATGAAAAGAACTTCCAATCCTGTGTCCGTTCGTATTCCAAACCTATTGAAATCGACTGAGGATCGTTCCATTAACGGACATCGTAAATCCGCGTTGACACGAGGCGGCTTCCAGGATCGGTCACCTCTTCAACCGTTTCTCCCTCTTTAATACCTTTCGACCAAGTTTTACGAACGATCAATTCTCTATTGTAAAAAAAAGATCGAAAGTAATAAAACTAGTAATAATGGCGTCACGGTATCTAAAAGAAAAAAAAAAGAAAAAAAAAAGTGGAACGAAATGATTCAAATTGAATTCTTCACCTCTATATCGAAAATATTATTGGAGTATAAATAATTGGATATCTAAACATCTGGTACGAATCAAAATGATCGAGTAATGGTAAGCTGCATTGTTGGTTTGCAATCGATTAAGCGAGGATTAAAGTGACTCAGAAATTGATGAATCGCGTAGAAACATATACTAAATTTGGGAATAAAGAGGTTAGAAACTAGACACGCCTCCTCTTTTGAAATTACCCTATTAAAACTTATTAATGGAATTAAATTCTTGTAAGAAGTTATTAATAGTATCTATCAACGATCTTAAATTATTGCATTAATTAACTTTAATATCTCTCCTCCGTATCGCTAAATTCATCTCTATTTCTAAAATATGGAAACATGGATTCACAGGATTTATTCATTGACCGATCTAAAGATTAAAGTTTATTTCTTTTCTGGTAACACTCAACTTCCTTGAGACAAATTTTTTCATCTTTTTTCCACAAGCGTACTATATTCATTGGTTAATCCACATTATAGTATATAAATTTTATTTATTTTCTAAATTTTTATTTAAATTTTAATTTAAAAACTAAAATAAAGTCATAAAACACTATCTTCCTTGAAAAAAAATTCTAAGAATTCTGAATCTTCCAAATTCTTTTTTCTAACATTCATAACAAAATATCCAATAGGATTTATTTATTGATTTAAATTAAAATTTATTCCTGTATTCTATATTTCTGTTCAACTTCGAGATTATCATCAAATATTTATCTTTTCTGAGAAAAAAATTCTAGTAGAGTTATTTCTGATCTTCCAGATTCTTTCTTTCATTATTTCTCAAATAACGACAGATTATTCAATAAAATCTATTCATTGACTAATTCATTGATCAAATTTTATTTACTTTTCTAAATTTTTATTCTAATTTGAAAACTGTCAATCAATGAACTACTCATCTTTCTTGAGAAAAAAATTCTGGAAAAAAAAAAGATTCGTGAACTTCAAGATTTCTTCTTCTTCAATTACATTGCTCCATCAAAATCAACAACTATCCCAAGCAACAACAGAACGCTCAATGTTCTCTTTTCTTCTCTAACAAATGAAAAACCGATGCCCGACAGGCATACAACACGAGGGGTGACCATAGAACACGTAAGAAAAGGAAACTGGCCACGACAAATCGAATTATTCTTAGCGAGGGGTTGGAAAGACTAACAAAAGCTTACAAGGGGGAGAACACATAAACAGAGCAGATCGTTAACACCGGTTATGGACCTTCCTGGTTTCCCAGCCATTAGGCGTCGTCGTTTTTGTTCCCGCAACTTCTATTTTATCGTGCAATCGTAAACGTATTAATAAATAATAAGGAAGATTCTGCAAACCCTGCGTTATGAATTTGCTTTTTCCACACGTCTATAATTCCATTTTCTCTTTCCCTCTTTTTCGTTGTCACGCTCGTTTACGACGAGATGTTAAGTTGGACGATATTAAAGGTTAAGATGAATAGAATATTAAACATTTTGTTATGGAAAGAGATAATACAAGAGATAGGTACTCTTGTATTTACGTTTTCTTACTTTATCTTTTAGACGATAAATTTTTTTGCAAATATTACAATTTTTTTTTCTAAATTAATGATTATTTATAATTTATAAATAGAATGATAACAAAATGTTATAGTTTGTAAATAGAAAATTTAATAGGTTTTTGAATAAAGCACAATCTTAAGAATGTTTGCTTGATCCAGCAAAAGTGAAATTTGTAAGAATTAAAATTAAAAATTGAGAAATACCTTTAATTATTGATGATCCCGTTTATAACATAAATCTGGAAATTTCAAACAGAATGCAATGTAGCACAATTCCAAAATAGATCTCCAATACCTGTCACTTCTCAACCGTTTTATTCACCATTTCGCTATACCAAAGCTCGCACTACAAGATTAAAATTTTATAGGTTATGTATCACATAGTAACGAATCTTTTCGCACATAACGATAATTTATACCGTGAATGATCGACCAGGCTGAATGAGGCGCATACACACATATACACAAAGCAAGCATGCATTGGTTAAAATAAACGTAATGCATGCTATGTACGCGGAAGCAACGGTTTGCACGATTGTTTCATCCCAAAAATGATATTCACGGGCCGCCACGCCGGTAGCTCGTAAAAAGACTTATCTTCCTCTCTTGCATGCTTCTACCGTTTTCCTATTCTCTATCTCTGTCCTCTTCTACACTTAACCATGCCTCGTCCTTTTCTCCAAAGCTCGGCAGTCGTACTTTTTTAACAAGAGAAACAACGTAGGTAAGATTTACCCTGAAAATACGTCGCGGTCCTGGCATCATGTAATTAAACATGAGTACGTCGGGGAGGAGGGGATACGAAAAGGAAAAACTATAGAACAATAGATGGCGCACAGAAAAATCTATTGTCGGTATGAACGATGGCTAAATAGTCGACATTTTGTCGATGACAAGTGTCTCGAGTCTCTTATAAACCGGAAATTATTTTAACTTTTCTTTCGTACACTTGCCTTTGAATTTTATATTAATCAAAGGCAAATACTGAGGCTGTTCTTTTGTATGTATATATATATATATATATATATATATATATATCATATAATAAAGCTCTTTTTTAAAGTATATAATTCTACGAATATTCGTTTGTAAGTTAAATAATTTATTTGCTATTCGTAGGTATTTATAAATATTTAAATTTATCTCATAGTCTAAAATTAATTTACATTCGAATTGAGAAGTAGATTAAATTTAAGTTAGAATAATTTTTGTTGCGATTCATTTGATCACAACGAACGAAATTTAATATAAATATAGATTTAGAGGTTATGTTAAGTTAAATTTATTTAAATTGATCCTCGGTTAAATTTTATTTATTATTTCTCGAAAGAATTAGATATAATATTTTATTCCAATTTTATTCTAATTGCAAAGTCAATTTAGTTATAAATATAAATTAGATATTGTTATTGCACATAATTTAGATACGAATATCGACAATTGTAGCGATTATTCGAGAAATATAATCAGGTCAGGTTAGGTCTATAACATAAAATTCCACGATCAACCTTCGGGGAAACGTTTCACGCGATTTTTCGTCGCGTAAGGGAACAAACGGCCAAGTAATCGATACCGACGACGCCTTCGAGTGCTCTTCATTAATGCATAATACGAGGAGGCGCGCGCGATACGATTTCGAACGAGTATAAGTGAGATTCTCCCTATGGAATTAACCCTGATGCGAGGACAACGAAATCCGACAACTATTTCTCGCAACATCGAAATTCGAACTTGTATTGAAATTCATTTCAATACCGACTCTTCTTTTCTATAATTTATCATACAAAATAAAATTATTACGTAGAGTTCCTTCTTAATAATAGACTGCATAATATAATTTATGCATTTAAAAGTATGTCGAAATATGCATATAAAATAGAATATAAAATATATGTGATGTATGCAAAATCATGTGCAATATAATGTGTTACGAGTAATAAGAATAATGAAAATATTCTACAATAATGCGTAGCTATTATCGAGGCATTTTAATTATAATTTAACTTTTCACAAAACTATGATTTTTCTCTATATTTACTGTACTTAGTCGTAGATCATTATTGATTCAAGTTAATTTATAATTTATTTATAATTCGACACGATATGTGCCATAAAAATATATATAAATTTACTTTAGTAAAATTGATTCAACTTTAATTCAACATGATCATTTAAAATGTCATCGTGATTCATTCAAGTATTTTAAATTTTTTTAAACAGAAATATAATTTTTTCCCCCTGAAATTTTCATTTAACCAAAAATTTAATCTAAACTGTTACAGACTTGTGGCTCTACGATATCAATTAAGAATTAAATACCGAGTCGGCACAAATTTCTGGCGAGAAATCGTGACGTGGAGTGAGGTTAAGTTCAACAGGTGCATAAATCAGCAAAGATTCCTAGTGTAGTTACCTCTGTTCCGTTGACGATAAGATCTCCTCTGCTTCTGGCCAAGACTCGCCTGTACCAGTGCCAGCAGGAGTAAAAGGATCACGAGGAATCTTCTCGCCGGAAGTTCCATTTCACTCTCGACTATCGTTTACTAGCGTCTCATTTGCAGCGCAACAAAGACCTCCAAACGATTTTTCCTTCTTTCTTCACTCGATTGAACTCTTCACTGTTGCAGGACGGAACTATTTCACCAACTGAATTTAATTTTCCGAATTAATCGATCAAAGACCACGACGATAGGTGGTAATACCTTCTTCGAGGTTGTGGAGGATTCTGGATCTGCTAGAGACTTGAAATTTTGATTGGATTCAACACTTCGAGTAGTGTTAATTTGCCTCACTTGAGGAGAAGATGTCAAGTCTTTTGTCATGGGGTGGAGTGCATCATGAAATGTAATCGAAATAAGAAACTCCTTTTAGACTATATTTATAGCAATGTTAAAAATCTACTATAGTTTCAGGATGATGGATCTTTTATTATTTTGATTAAAAATAATACAATGAAAATAAGTATTCAGTACTTTTCTGAAATATAAAATATAAAAATAAAATAAATATAAATTTTGTTGTTAATTCGTCTCACTTGAGAAGAAGGTATTAAGTCTTTTGCTATGGTGAAATGATATATGAAATGTAATCACCATAGATAAGAAATTCTTCTTAGACAGATAAAATGTAATTGTGCCTGATTAATGAGTATGGTTTCACGATGATAGACTTCCTATTATTTTGTATACGATTCTAAAAAATAATATATTGAAAATAATCCATTTTCTTAAAAATCAACGTAAATTTTATTATTAACAACAAGTTTCAAATCTTTCGTGAATTCCATACACGAAACCAATCAAAGTAACGTAACGAAAACAAATCGACACACGTGTGTGCGCGTTAAAAAAAAAAAAAAATCGATCTCGCGATGTGCATAGATGTAAAAAAAGGAAAAAAAAAAAAAAAGAAATGCAAAAAAACAAAAGCATATTCCCGTTATTTACAAAAAAAAAAACAAATAACCAAAGAAAGAAGAAAAAAAAAAAAAAAATCTAAAATTCGTCAATTCGACGATCCAGTTACTCCATCCATCCTCGAAGAAAACGATTCGAGGTGGCGACAAAACTAATCGAACTAAAGAAGCTCCCAGAACAGAAGAACTCCGGGAAACCGCAGGCAAGAAGAGACGAAGAAGGAGCACGATGATCGCCAAGTCCTTCGACAAGGGCGCATCCGAGGTCGATTCCTTCCCATCGATCCCACCCCGATTAATCACCCGTGCTCGTGAAGAAAAGAGAGAGAAGGAGAGAGAGAGAGAGAGAAAGAGAGAAACATAGAATTCGAAGGCGGAAGAGTACTCGAAACCGGGAAGAACCGAGCTGGTTCTCGTTAGTTACACGAGCTTTTTTCCACTTTGGGGGAGGGGAAGGAGGGAGGGGAGGGGAGGAGGAGGAGGGAGGGGAGGGGAAGTCCGACAATTCGGTTTTTGTTTTCGCGGGATTACCAGCACCGTGGAAACCAGGAGGGTTGACGGAGCAGGAGCAGGAGGAGGGAGGAGGAGGAGGAGGAGGAGGAGGAGGAGGAGGAGGAGGAGGAAAGGAAAAGCGCGCGACGGTTCGCGGCAGAAAGGCAAGGAAATTGTGCAGCGAGCAAAGCACAATGGTTCCGCTGTGGCGCGGCGACACGCTGTGTTTTTCAATTATTTTTAATTATTTTCTGAAAGCCGCGACCGCGTTTGATGCACACTCTCCCTCCCCTCTGTTAACCCCCTCCCCCCCTCTCCCATCCTCTCACCCTATCGATCCCTCTCGCTTTTCCACGTCCAATTTAAAAAACACCACGTCCACTACCATCCCACCCCCTTCCCGCCCCGTCATCATCACCGTCTTTTACCCCCACCTCCCTCTCCCCTCCCTCCCCCTTTGTTTCTCGCTTTTTTTCCTCGTTTCTGTTCTCTTTTCATTTCTTCCTTTCTCCTTCCTTCCGCCACTGGATGTGTCACCGATGACCGGACAAAGAGAAGAATTCGAGAGAGAGAGAGAGAGGAGGAGAAATAAAGGGGGGGAGGTTCTAGCTTTGTCATCGTGGAGCGAGAAAGATGGAAATAATTGGAGGAATGCACCGGGTTGAATACCGTGGAGGAGAATGGAATCGGAATATATCGGGGTGAGTTTCTTTGACGCTGGATTTTTAATATTTTTTGGAAATGAACAGGTGATCGAAGAGATGCGATTTTCGAGAAGTTTTGGAAGCAGTAGGGATATATGTTGTAAGAAGAAATTTTGGAATTTATAAATATCCTCTCTGCCAGAAAAGCACATGCGATGGTAACTATATATCTTTCTTTATCAATATGGGAATCATTGTTATTCTAAATCATCGTAAATAAATTTTTCTTCGCATTCTTCGAAGGAATTTCTATAATAATTTCGTTCGTGACTGATTATATATAGAAATAAAAAAACGAATGAAACGTTGAAACAAGTGAAGCATACTCAAGAGAGTTAGGAAGAAGAAGATTAATCAGAGATATCGTATTTCTTCCGAAAAAAAAAAAAAAAAATCCAAAAAATATTACTTACGCTATCTTTTGCGATTTTGATATTGCATTGATTGATGAATTTTTTTCATTAACAACTTCATTACGTAAACGAAACAAAATATCATACTTATTATTACATAATTACCTATATATTAATTATCTATTAATTACCTATTATCTTTTCCAAGAATGTACTTGTTTTCAAAACACCGAAATAAAATCAATAAAATCCATCATCGTGACATCAAAGATCCCCCTCTCTACATACATCCTATATACATCGCACAAGAATATAAAAAACTTCGAAATACTTTCGAAAGATCCATAAATCGATTCGAGAATTTACCATCTCCAAACATAGAACACTCCACCACGTATTGAAAATTTTTTTGTAAGATATATTCCAAATAAAAACACACTTCACCGTGCTCCAAAAATATCTTCGAGTCCAGAATCCTCCAGAAGAAGAAGAAGAAGAAGATCGGTGGTCCCTCGATCGGATCCTCGAGCGAATTCTCCCCCCTCCCCTCCCCGTGGTGCAAGAGATAAGAGGGCAGCCGGTAAATTTTATCTCTGGAAACGGAGGATTCGCGTGGAAAAGTGAAAAGTAATGTGGGATACGCACGTTTCTCGATGCAGACGCCGCGCTGGTTCGAGGCTCTGACAGACTGGCAAACCGCTAGTCGCCATCAACCGAACCAACAACAGACCACCCCACCTTCGCTGTCAACAAGCGTGGGAGGCACTAAGCTACTCTGAATTTTTTTCTTTTTTTACTTTTTTTTTTTTTTTTTTTTTCTCTCTTTTCTCTCAAGTAAACGTTTCGATTCTTTTCGTGGAATATGATCGTCGAATAGCGAGTTTTGAATTTTTGACGAATCGAGAAAAAGTTTCGTTTTCTTTTTCTTTTTTTTTTTTTTTTTTTTTTTTGTGAAAAATTTCTTCCGTGTTTTGGAATTAATTTTGGAAAGGGGATACGTGAAAGTCGTTGAAAGATATTTTTTTGTTGAGAAAAATTTGTAGTCGGAAAAAGTAATTTTTTTTCTTTTTTTACGTGTTTTTTTGCTCGTTTTAAATTGGAAAAAAAAAAAGTTGGTGATAAATCTGTAATTATCGGCTCTCATAACAATTCCATTTCACAATCAAATCCATTTCGAGATCATAAAAACAAATTTGTATAAATCAATCGTGATCTCCAAATGAAAATTTATTTATTTTATTATTTTATTTTTTTATATTAATATATATTCGATATATAAATATATCGAAAGATAGTGAAAATACGTGTATAGCGTCAAAATTTTGAGAAAAAAAATACTAGTTAAAATAATAGTCAATCTTTTATCTTTTTTAGAAGTTTAGAAAATTTTCTTTTCTTTAGAAAAGAAATTTATTTGGAAAATTTATTTAATTAATGAAAAACTTTGATATATTATTAGAATGTTTTTCATTTAAAGAAAAATACGGATTAAAATTTTTGGAGATTTATATGATTTAAGAGAAGATTCGGAAGATCGTAAATAGCTCATTCCACGAATGAGCATGGATTTGTGTAATTTGTGACAGTAAGTTGAAAGGATTTGCTCTGGTTCCGTGATCGGCCGGTGCTTTAAGAGATTAGGAGCGACTTTCTTTTTCCTCCGCCTCCGCGGAACTTGTAACGCGACACCGGTTTTGAACAGAACTATAAACGAGAAAAATACGAGAGTTAAAGAATTAGAATCGTTTCAAAATATTTCCATTCGAGCAGCTTAAAACAGCTACCACGATGCACATATAAAACTGACTATAATGATACAAAAAAAAAAAAAAAAAAACAAATTTTTCATGCCATTTAAAATTTCTTTCTTTCAATATTCGTTTCCACGAATTTCCGAAATATTTTAAAAATTAAAAAAAAAAAATCTCGTTCGAAAATAAAAAGTTCAAATCAACTATCGAAGAATAATTTTAAAACGCTTTGAGGAGAGGAAAAAAATAAAAGAAGAAAAAAAAAAAACTCGATTCATAGAGGAGAATTCAGCTCGAGGATCGTCAGTCACCCAGACCTGTCCGTTGGCAAGGATCGACGATTTACCGATCGAAAATTGAAAAAAGCGTGGCCGTTTATCTCTCGAAGGAACGAACGAACCGACCCGCTTCGATTCGAACGAGTGACTGGCGGACGCGTGCAAGGTGTCGCAGCCACGGCGGCTCTGCCGCATCGCAATTGCAAACGCGCCGTTTGCCGCGCGAAAATTCATCCGCGCATGCGCACCAACGTAAGCAGAACCACGCACGATAAATTGAAAACCGTTCGATCGGTGGATGGTTTTATCGGTGTCCGATACCTCGTTTCGAACGAATATTTTTCGCATCGATGATTATCAATTGAATCTTTCGTTTTGAGGACGACTCATAGAGAGAGAGGGGGAGAGAGAGAGAATTTAAAGATCGTCGAACGATCCGAGAATGAAAATCCATTGACAAGAAGTTAACCTCTTTTGTGCATATGCGTAAAATTAATTGTACGATAAACGATAAGTAAGGGAAATCAGGATTCAAATCAAGATCATTTATGGAATAACGAATTCGAAATTTAATTCCTTCGAGCAAGTAATTTGTTAATTGTATTTTGATATAGAAAGATAAATATATCGAAGAATTTCGCGATGTATCGAGATAGATAATTCACTAATTACGAACTGTTAAAACAGTTATTCGGTCTTATTATTTAAAATTAAATCTGAAATTTTTTTCAGATGTGCAATTGAACGAAACAAAACGAATAATTTTAAAATACTGATTAATATTGGATTCAAGTATTTTTAAGCTATTCGAACTAAAATGAATTAATTTTAGATCACAAAATAACCGAGTTTAAACGAAATTTAAGATCCGATATTTTCGGATTCATCTACATGAATAAAAAATAAGATAATATTCTCCGGCCGATCTATTTAATTCTCTCCGAGGAAAGATGCCATCCCCTCCAGATCAGAATTCTAATTAACATGAGGCAAACGAGATTATTCTACAGGCTGATCCAATTTCCATCGTCATAAAGCATCCAGTCCCAGGCCTGGGCTGAATGGACGGAGCATAAGAACACGTTTCGTTCGCGGATTATAAAAGTTTAAATAAAATAAGTTCAGAATCACGGTTCGTGCTTGGTGATATGACGGCGGTGGGAAAAAGGTGTTGCACCGTTCGTTCTGTGCCGTTTATTCGAACAAGGCTTTAGAGCTCGCATTTTCATACTAATGGACTTCTTCAACTTCCTCGACACCGGTGTAACCACTCCTCGAATTATCTTTTTCATCGGTCGGATTGACGCGTGCCCGAGTATCGTGCACAATCTCGAAAACTTACAAAAAGAGAAATAGTTTCTAGAATTTAAAAAAACTCGAATTTCGAATCTCTGTCTTGGATGTATATACACGAACATGATTCGAATAAGTCTTAAAATGCATCGAGATTAAAGAAATTATCGTACAAGGGAGTCTTATATATTAATAATGTAACGAACCATGAATTTCTCACATTCAAACGCAAAAAAAGTGCATAATAATCTTTTCTCTTTAAACGTTAGTAGAAGTAAAATTAAAAACGTTATATTAACTTCTATCATTACTTCTTTCATCGCACACCTTTACACACTTTAAATCGAAATACAAATTTAACACGAGATTAATCCGCTAACACTTGATACCAATTCAAATCAAGATAAAATCTTTATACGAATAAAATTTTCCCACAATATTTTGAATACACAAACAAACAACTTTAAAAACTTCTTTCCATCTCCATCCTATATATCTCCAATATCGATCGTCCAACATCAAACCTTAAGCACGAATTCTTCCACCCTCGCCCAACCGAATTTTCCAATCTAATCACCACGCTCTGACCTTCGTCGTGAATATTCCCTTTCCACGGATTAAACGAACGATTCGGGGGTCGCGTGTCACGGCGGGGGCGGACAGTAATTCCGCGCGGTTCGTATCCTCGTAAATTACAAAAAAGCCCGGGAATTGTTGCCTCGAAACAACCTCCCTCCCCTCGCGAGCAGCAAAGCGTCTACAAAGCGAGCGTTGTTTTCATCCAACGTTGCTGCTACCCCCCCCCCCCCATTCTCGGCGGGGACGCGATGATGTCCCACATGCATCCCGCGCCGGGGAGAAACGGATTGTCGCGAGGGGGAGGGGGAGGGGGGTGGTGAAGGGGTGGTTCTCGTTACCCAGCGGACCTTAAGTGTGGCAACAACCGGGGTGGTAACGCCTACCAATCTGCCGTTTGCCCCCTCATCCCCTCGGCCAAACCCAACCCCCTCCTCTCCACCAGGGCTTGGCGCCAGCTTAATTCTGCCCGGCCCGGAGAAATGAAGCTTAAAGCCGAAAATGAATTCTAAAAAGCGCGGATGATGAAAGTGTGGTTGGTCGGTTGGTCGGTCGGTTGGCTGGTTGGTCGGTCGGTCGGTTGGTTGGTTGGTTGGTTGGCTTGGCTAGGAGGTGGGTGCGGCTGATGGGGGATTGCCTGGCTGTCGTAAATCTGGCTGAAGTGTCGCGGATGGATTATAATTGCGACGTGACCGAACTGACGATAAATCCTCGGATTCCGTACTTTTCTTTTCTTTTTTTTTCCACTACTTTTTTCTCTTTCTTCTTTTTTTTTGGATTTTAATTCTTGGTTCTTTCTTCTTCTTTTTTTTTTTTTTTTCTTTTGGAAAAAGGAAGTTTTAGAATGTTTGGGGATGTTGAATAAAAGGGGGGCGACGAGTGGAGTTTCTTGGTTCTCAGAGAGGTGTTGATTCGATTTCGAGGAATATTTTTTATTTTTGGAATTTGCTAGGTTTTTTTCTCTTTTGCTCTTCTTTTTTGGGATTTTAATTCTTGGTTTTTTCTTCTTCTTTTTCTTTTTTTTTTTTTGGAAAAAGAGAGTTTCTTATGGGATTGAATAAAAGGGGGACGAGTGAAGTTTCTCAGAGAGGTGTTGATTCGATTTCGAGGAATATTTATTTTTGGAATTTGCGGGTTTTTTCTCTTTTGCTCTTCTTCTTCTTTTTTTTTTTGGATTTTAATTCTTGGCTCTTTCTTCTTTTTCTTTTTTTTTTTTTTTTGAAAAGAGGAAGTTTTAGAATGTTTGGAGATGTTGAATAAAAGGGGGACGAGTGAAGTTTCTTGGTTCTCAGAGAGGTGTTGATTCGATTTCGAGGAAT